TTGTTTCTGCATTAGGAATAGAAATTCTGTTGTTAGGCTTCTGTTAATTCAATACAATAAAAGTAATTGAGAAATTTAGCATTTTAATTTGCTGATCGTTGTTTTTGTAAAGATACAAAATCCGTAACATAAAAGCACTACTCTTTTTTTTATTATTTATATATGTAATAATGTTTACAATACAGAAGTATTTTAGTAATAAACAAAATATATTTCAAGACATTTAATTTTCGCAAATTTGACGAGCTCCATCAAATATAATGATGTCCATTTAAAATTTAATTAAACAATCAACGAATATGGATAGCCTTTCAAATAAACAACACCTACAAATGGGCGGCATAATCCATTTAATAATTACTTTTTGCATGATTCATTGGTACAGCATGTATTAGACACAGTTAACAGCCGAGTTCTCACAGCAACTTAACCTGATGCCTTCCCGCAAATGAAGATTTATGCTGAGCCATTAAACATGCGGTTGTTATTGTTGTAATTTTCTCATATACCTTGCGGTGAAAATACGATATCGACACTTTCGCTACTATCGTTACGGTGGGTCAATTCTTCACGCCAGATACGTTCCGAGATATATACAGTTAATGATAACCTGCTGTATTAATAAAGCTATTTTGTTTTATTAGAAGATAGATTTATTAACTCTTTAAAAAGTAAAGATATATATATGAATAATAATATAAATATGCATAGATAAAATGGAAAAAAGCTAACGACAACCCACAACCAACAACCAACAAAAACAACCCACAGGATGGTGTGGAGGATGGTAATCATGCCATCATATGCTATCGACTATGTAAACGTTGTCATTCCGGAGAACTAAGGTGCCACGCCTTTGTGCCCTGTAATTTTACTGCCTTATCTCACCTCTTAACCAATTACAAAGTGAGCTGCTAGACCCCTGAAATAGGTGAGACAAATATACCCAATTAATAAGAATATAAATCTGAAAATAGTGCTGTACTATTTTCAGATTTATTTTTTATTTATAGATTCTATTCTTCCTGTGGGTGTGTTTATCTTTCAGAGGATACGGGTATGTCCTCCGAAAACCACAGCAGTTACTATTATATACCAGAACCATTTAAATACATCCCTTTTAAAATTCTTATATTCCTTCTCCAAAATTCCACTCTCCAACCCATCTACCCAGCGTGGTGATTTACTATATAGGCCTTCCTAATAAAAAGGATATTAAATGTGTGGCCTCCAATACCAGGCAACCTAGATTCCTGGCCAAGGTGTCGGTGTGACATCAAGAAGGTGGCCAAGCGTGGATGGATGCGGAAGGCGGAAGATCTCACAGGATGAAAGGCATTAGATAACGCCTGTATCCAACAGTAGTTGGATACAGACTAAAATGATGATGATGCTGTTGATTCCACCTGATCGAAACTCTATTAGACATCTTATTAATGTTTAAAATTAACCAAAAAAGAAGAGCTATATTTTCTTTAAAAAACCGATGAAGTGTTCAAGTTTTTCGCTGTTTTCGTACACAGGAATGATAATTGCTCTTGAAACTTGGTATCTTTGTCTTGCTTGTACGCGTAGCACTATGCATAAGTGCATCCCGTTTTGCAAATTCCTTGTTTGCTCGTGGGAACGAAATGTACCCGCGCTGTTCCTGGAACGTGCGCTTGCGATGCATCAAATCGCCCTCTTAACAAAGATCGCCTAATTATGGACACGGCATGTGAAATTATAGTGGATTACATGTAATATTACATGTGATTGTAAAATTAGTAGATATGACATGTATTTATTGAAACGTGTACCTATTTTACCTCTCCAATGTATAATAACATATAGATAGTATAAATAACTAGAGGTTTGCTGTGACTTTAGGGAATTATAGTAATTGATATATTGGTAATTAATAATTATGAAATAGAAAAAAAAATATCTATCCTTATGTTTTAAGTATATGTAATAAAATAAAGAGTATAGAATTTCTCTGAGTTAAGTTTACACACTTAATACAGCCGGTGCCCTACCGGCTGTATTAAGTGTGTAACTTGAAATAGAGTGACGAGAAACTAATAAATATATTGGGAGTACATAATTATTCCAACCATTACGAAACTTAACTTTGTATCATGAATATCAATAAATAAATCAAAATCGATTGATAAAATCACTACAAACTGTTTTACATAAATTTAACAAATTTTACAAACGTGGATTACATTTTTATATTAAATAGATAAATGTGCATGAGAAAGTTATATGTAATTTATAAATAATTATTATAATAATAAAGAATATTTCAAACCTAATTCAAATGCTAAAAATGTATTGTCAGTTCTGTTTTATATTATACTATGGTCACTCTACACCTTTCACGATAATCATCCAATTACGAAGTAAACGTTTCTTTCAAAATTATCCTTTGCATGTTTATTATGTTTACATTACAGGCTTTCGGGAGATATTTGTCATTATACATTCCACGGTTATTTTTTGAGTATATTGCGCGATATCTTCACCAATTTATTTATATCTTACCACAAACAGCGTTGCGTCTGTGGTAATTGTCAATCGATAGGCTTTACATTTGAATTATTCCTGATGGAGACCGTTGTTTTTGTGCAATAAGACATGTTATTTAGTAGTAATACTGTACCGAGAACAGAATAGAATAGAAAATCATTTATTCAAATAAACTAATATTGAAGCACTTTTGAATAGTCGTCACATTTTTTTTCAATTTACCGCTAATCCGGAAAGCTGTTCATCACAAGAAGAATGAGCAAGAAACATGCGTGTTGCTCTTTATTATCGTTCCGAGATAGTAATAAAGTATAATAGAAACATATCATAAGATAATTAAATTAATTAAATAAATACAAATTTCTGTTTAATACACGTTGTATTTATTGTACCCAAAAATGTGTGTATTGTAATGATCGATTTTTTTTATTACTTTTATATTCCTTGTGTACCTAGCGGCTAATTGATATGATTGAAGTTATTCTGTGAAACAAAATATTGAATCAGATAATAGAAAAAATGATATCCGTTCTTAATGAAATACAGTTTTCCGAAACACAAAAAATTTACAAGTGTATACAATTTTATGAAAACTCTGCAGTGAGTTTTTTTATCTAAATGCTCCATAGCTCCTTAGAAGGTACCATAGATATTTTTTACTAAAAGGCTTAACACAAATGAATTAATAACTTTTATCAGTCTAATCATAATTTAATTAAGATCTTCCTCACACATTCCACGAACGGATATGGCACTCGTCGTTCCTCGTCCCGCTTATTCAGACTTTGCGTGATGGGAGGCGACCTCCATAGTCGCATCCGTCATTTTCTAATAGGCATGTTCATCGTGACTAATAAAGTCAACCTACAAACAAATAAACGAATCAGAATATAGAGAACACAAATTTTAAATACCTAATTCTCAAATGCATTATGATACTTTTCTGACACAAGATTGAGTGCAAAACTGAGTGCAAAAATTATGTACATTTATCGGTAATAATTTGTTTTATATACGGATTTTTTTTTATATAATTTTTATAATAATATAAATTTGGATTTAATACATTACAAAAATAAGGGTAAGCTGTAAACTGGGATAAAAGACCTCATGTCACCCTTATCTATTTATCTTTAAACCTTCACTTATGTCCCGCCAGAGTGCACTCTGAAATATTATCAACTAATGCATACACCATTAGCGCAATCAGGTTAACCATTTTGCCATTACCTACAAAAAAAAACCAACGACGAAAATCGGGGTACACATATGTTTGTCGCAAAACTCACCCGTGTCTACAACTTGTATATTTATACTAATATTAAAACGCTTATTAATTTAAAAAAGATTAATGTTAACCATTAAAGTATAACATCCAACAAAACAAGATAAAATCTGACAGTAACATTGTTACTTCGAAAACGAAATGCAATTGTTATGTTATGGTATAATAAATTAATTTGTTAATTAATAGATTGTAAATGGTTTTAAAGAATAACAGTGAGAACAGCAAGCGTCGTAAAATGGTAACTGGCCAGCTTTACGATGGAGATGGTATATGTTATTTCAATTTGAGCACAGAGTAGGATTATTATATTCTCTTCTTATGCCGCTAAATGGGCTATAAAAAAATGTTTATTATTTTTTAAACTTATATTAATTGTGCTAACACTTTGTAACTACATATGTACGGGAATCTAATAAACTTACTATGTTTTTCAATTGTATCGACTTCATCCGGAAGCTTTTTCAGGGTGAGTACAGCTAGTCTACTACAGCGTAAAATCTTATTGAATATCGACCTGTTTTAAGTAATTACAAGTGCATTATGTAGAACTATATTATCAGACTAGCTGAGAAATCTCCTTTGAACCCGTGCGTCGTGGTATTTGTTTAATTTGGTGTTCATAAACGGATTGGAATACAACAAATACTTAATTTTAAGTCAGGCTTCCCATAATATTTGAATGAAAACTGCACCCAAATCGTTTGCGGACTCGTACGGACCAGCAGATGCTTGTAATCTTGTTATCGTAGTTGTTGTTATATTCGTAAATTATCTATCTTTCATTTATATCAACCAGTATATATAGTTCCGCATTTTGCCTTTACTTTGAGCCGTTATACGACGTGAATCTTACTAATATTATTAGATAATGTGAAAGTTTGTGACTATAAATGTATGAAACCTTCATCATTGTACAATGTGATGCAGCCCTGACTCCCAAACTAGCGTGAGCGTGTGTATATCAGTCAGAATGACGGATGGATGGATATTTGTTACTGTTTCACGCAAAAACTACTGAACAGATTTTATATTAACCTTTACAGTAATATAACTTATACATTACATTATATATAGGCAATAAATACCACATATATATCTAAGACTATATAGTATAATGTTTTCTTTTTAGCAACCTATAAAAATATTTGATGTGGGTAATATATTTACAATGTAAACAATTTGTATTGTTTCGTTGCAGCCGAGAGCACGGGCCGGTGAACTATGGCCGGTGGACCGGCCCGACGGCATGCCGGTCATACAGTCGTTGGAGGTGATGTGCGGGAAGGACCACATGGATGTGCATCTCACCTTCTCACATCCCTTCGAGGGAATCGTGTCTTCAAAAGGTAAAATGTAGTAAATATGACATAACTGTTATTATAACAAAAGTTTGTTATGAAACTGAAATGGGTAACTATTAAAAGCCACCTGATGGTAAATGGTGACTGTGGTCTATGTGTATACTTCAACAGCATCATAGACATAATTTAATCATATGTAGTTTGTTGTACCTTGAATGCCGTGATATTCTGAACTAAGATACCGAAATTATAATTTCACTGCTTTATCCCACATTTCAAACCTAAAAACTTCTTACTAAACCAGGTACTGCGGTTTCCAGACGACTTTGTATAAGTTTACCTCGATCCATCTATTATAACACTACACGGCATAAGTATCCTTGTAAAAGGAACTATTTAGTCTGTCATTACTAGTTTACAGACTTATATCTATAAAGTTTTATTTCAATATTACAAAAATAATCGTGCCTGATTTTATTAAATTTATTTATTTCTTAACTTTAAATTGAAAGAAATAAACTTTTAGACCAAAGTAGGTAAATAAACTAGGTTCTAAGTTATAGCGGTTAATGATGATTCTTATAATTATCAGATTTAAGTAATACGAGGACGGGCGTCTATTGTAACGTATAACCACAGATAACATAATATTTGGTATAACTATCAAATTGTAACGTATAACTATAATACATATAACAACAAGTGCTGATATGAAATTTTGTTTACAGTACAGACATTAGAATTTTACGGCAATGAATGTGTAACGAATTACCAAATTATTCTTTTCAGTAATTAACAATGGCGTTTTCAAATTCAAATCACTCCGCACATTCGTTTTCACTTGCGTTATAAATATGAGCCTAATTTTCTACACTTTCGCTCATACAATACGTACTCTGTTTTTATTTTAATATTAATAAGTTGAAATAATTGTTTAATTTGAAGTTAGCATAAAAATAAATGTTATCCCCAAATAATGGAATAAAGGTAAGTCAAAGATGATAAAAAATAATGTTATCCATTTATTATGTTTTGCGCAGACCATTCCGATATCACTCATGGAGATATGATCAATATAAGCCTGTATTAACATATCGTAATACTACCTTGATTCTGAATGAATCTGGTTGACGCCAAAAAGTTTATGCCTTAATTTTAATTTCCAACTAATTTCTCAATGTTTTGTATTAACGGAGTAATACAAAAGACTGATAAGAAAACGACTTAATCTAAGCAACGACGGTAGGTTCGCATTCTATGAAGTCGAATTCAAATATCTATTTTATCTCAAGGAGTAATCTGGCATGGGATAAAAATAGGGGATGAAAGTTTATGTAGACATCTTCTAGGGAAACAACTAGCATAGAAGTAGTAATAGTATATAAATAGTATAATATTTATATACTATTAACATTTTAATAGTATATAGTGAGATACATTTTCTATATATAAACCTTTTTGAAGAATATAGTTTACTGTACCATTTTAGCAAGGTAAATAAAACATGTGTTATATAATCGATAAAATTCAAAGCCTGTGCTAATGATATCTCGTCGGTAAATGCGTTTATAGGTCAAATAATACAAGAGTTATATTCGCTAACTGTATCTGCCTAATAAATGTATACTTATAAGTTTATTTATTACAAGTATTGAAAATAAATTAAAGTTGACACAACGGGAGGTAATTTATATTTAAATCCATAAAAAGCTAAGATTTGTCACCACTAATTTATTATCAATGTTGTTTAATTCAAATTAGTTTCGTAATTAATAAAAGACTTGGATGCTGTTGAATTAGATTTGACATAACATAAGAGTCTGCAATAGACCTACATGATTAAAAATATTTTGATTTGATTTGAATTTTATTTCATCCAAATAATTTGCGGATATAAAAGTTATGTTAAGCCTATATCTAGCAGTGTACTGCAGTGGGCTGATGATGATGATGATGATAATAGAAGTTAACGAATCATAAAATCTTACCAATATTATAAACGCGGAATTTTGTCACTTTGGATTGATGAATCTTTATTACACTTTCACGCAAAAACTACTAAATGGATTTTATCGAAACTTTGCAATAATATAGCTTATAAATTACAATAACACATAGGGTATAAAGTGACGCGGGTGTAACCACGGACACAGCTTGTATATACTATAGTAAGATTTATGAAGCAGAAAAAAATCGATGTTTGTAATTATTTGATAAACAAAAAAATATATTACAGATTTAAAAAAATGTATATACTTATACAATGCTACGTAATCAGTAAGTAGCATAGGTTTTATTGTATGTAACTATTACCGCTGGGTTATACCTACCTCTTATTAAACATAACATATATTAACAGTAATATATAGGAAAGGAATATAAATTCATACTTACGACCTTACGACCAAGTAATTAACATTAATTGTAATTACTTTTAGAAATCAGAGGTAAATAATATCTAGGCAACATTAAACCTACATACCTACTGACATTTTCTGATAAAAAGATTCAGTATATACCCCTAACGAACTGTATCTTCACGCCACACTACCGGGCGGCATTCAGACCGTTTCTAATTGCACACAATAATTGCCAAGGTTTCACTTACAATTATGACGGTACATACTGAATTATTAATACTAACGTGGCCCACTTACAACTAGTGGAGATGTACATGCTATGTTTATATCATTTTATCACAAGTATTTAACTATACTTACAAGGAGATCACAGCTAAACAAAATGTAAAACTATAAATTAATAATATAACAAACATAATATATAAACATGTTAATGTCATAATTATATTAAATGTAGAAGTTTTCAAGAAAAATTGTAGTCAGTATCTGATGATTAAATAACGATAATGTAACTTCATAAACTATCGACGAATAAGTAAATAGTGTAAGGATAAATAATCAATTGCACTGAATTGCACTAGATACTGTTGAAATGTAAGGTCTTGTAATTAATGATTTTAATTTAAAACTATTTTTTGATATCGTATTTTTCTAAAGAATTAAATTATAAGCCCGTTGAAATTGTACTAATATTATAATCTTGAAAATTTTATAAGGTAGGATAATTTAGTTTTAAACTTTCACATTTAATATACTTATACGTGAGGTGATAAAATTAAAAATAATCTAATTTCAACGGGAAAGAGCCTGTTAAAAATCTGCGATAAATGTGCACAGTGTTGGATGATCTAGTGATGGTTTAATAACCTACTGGCACTTACTGACATTGACATCGCTGTACTCTAATCAAATAGTCAGCAACAACATACGTATTGAAAATATAATCAGACTGATCACCTCTTCATTTTGGAAGTCGTCGTATAATAACTACTGTAAGATAAGTATTAAGTACGTTTTGTATTATGTACTACTTTTTACTAAATCCAATAATTGAACGTTCACACGTCTTCAATATAGACATTTACGCATGAATGAATTGCATTGTAACGTTGAAAAAAAACCAAACAATTTGGATGACGGAGGCATTTGTTCGGAAAATAATCTTGTCATTCATAAATCGTGGTTTTTGTAAAGAAACTAACTGCTAGTTATTATACGAGTAGATCGACAAAAGGGTATTACGGAGTACAAAAAAAACTGACTTTACACCATAAGTGTGTTAGTTGCTGACAGAACCGAAGTTCCCAACCGTTTGTCATCTTTTTACACGGACCACGTGTAGTAAAAGTGTTACGACATGAACACTATCAATAAAAATATTTTCATACATTACAATTCCGTCTTTTCAACGTTATGAATAGGTAGTTTGTTTCACACTTAAGTGGCGGAGTTTTCTCCACAATAGAATTAGCATAACTTTTCGAATCAGGTGCGTTGTTGCGCAGTCGTTTGAAGCTTCCTAACAAAAAAATAAATATATGTTATAATCGTACGTACAACAAATTACCGAATTAATATCCTTCAATTATTATTATTACTACATAACGTTTTATACGTAGTTTATCTATTGTTAGGTTGGGATAAAAATGGCCTACACTTGTTTTCGTTATATCTTTATATCAAATACTATGATTTGGTTAGCCGTTTCGTCGTAAAAATGTACTAAACAAATATATAGACAGACCTATCTTAATACCAGTAGTGTTATCATTATGTAATTCGAGATGAGATACGCTATATCTTATACCGCTACATATAAGAAGCTCTAAGCTATGTATGTATATATACGAATTGATTGGTGTTAGTATTTAGTTTATACGAAGCAGACCTGCTATTAGTTAGTATGTAATTAAATCAGAAATTACCTTAGTAATGAACAGCAAGTAAATTGTTTAGTGTCAGTTCATACCCACACTATTAATTAAAGTACCGATTCGTGTTGTTTGCGTTTAAACGAGGCATCGCCAGGCTATAATTTGTCAGACAACTTTCCAGCCTTATTACACCACCAAGTTAAACTAGAATTTGTAAAGAATCGTTTGCTTTTAATAGTTTACTTGTACCTTAAAGATTGAAACTGCTAGTGTGTTTTTAATTATAAATACCATATATTGAAATTAGTCCTCAAAACCACCTTTAACATGAGATAATCCTTTGAGATTTGACAAGAAAAAGGTAGTACTTTTTTTAATACTCAAATATTACCTATACCTATAGGGCTTTGGACTCCTTAGACAATCGTCTTATTTCATTGAGTCAATTACAAAAAATTCCAATTCATATGTAGATACATAGTATTAAAGCTAATAATAATAAACTATGACGGCTGTAACCCCAAATGCGCCAGAGGCATTGTTAACATATACACGGTGATGAAAGCAGTACTAGACTTAAATCCTATGTATCCTACATCGGATGGCATAGAGAGAGAGAGAGATTCTCTACCGCTGTTTCGTTTATAAATTCTCAGTTATATAATTATAAATAATCAGCTAGAAATATAAATTAACACGCACTTTTATGGTATAAACAAGGTTCGAACTCATCTCCTTTGGTCTAAGTTCGGGTAGCAATCCACTATGTCGTGGCATAGTGGATTTTCAATTTTAAAGCTACTGATATATTTTAAACAGAGAAATAAATACATTTTAGGCACCTCACAAACACGGTCACCTATTTTACCACGACGACTGTCCCTGACCGTTACGCCACCGCTAGATTTACGTTACAGTGTAGCTTGACCCTTCATTAGTGCCTATGTCCGCAGGTCAACACGGTGACCCGAGGTGCGTCTACGTGCCTCCATCCACCGGCCAGACTTACTTCTCGTTTCGGATCGCATACGCCAAGTGCGGCACCAAGCCTGGTAAGTACTTACTGATTTGAGAATCAATTGCGCTCAGCAATTTGCTCCGTGAAATCACTTATGAGATATCATTTATTAGAACTCTAGATGAGGAACACTTTGTGCACGTGTATATTTGTAGATACAATCTATTGATAATAATTAATCATGTAACTATATTGAAGAAAACATTTATATGCCGTCTAATATTTATCTTATTAATAAATAAATTAATAAAATTGTTGGTGGCGTATTGAAAATATTTTTAAATTTGTCACCAGCATTTTCCTTAAATGTCTATAGCTTATATATTGACCTGTAATTACAGATATTCTGCGAAAATGACATCCTAATTTCTAAAATTATTTTTACGTGCAACCTTAACCTGCAAACAGACAGTTTAAAAGTTTTCGCCTCGACACAATTTTTAAATTTTATAATCTGTAAAGAGAATTTTACATATTATGGTATCTTAAAAAGTGCACATCATTAGAAATGCAAGTTATTTTTAAATTTGTTCAATCTGAATGAGAATATTCATTCTGGAAATATTATAATAACCGAGAATAAATTGGACTGAATGAGGCCGATTTTATTATAGATATAAAGATCAATTGGAAAGGAAATTCACTCGATATGTCAAAGTAAAAATTATATGTATTATTCATATATGAATATTTCATGAATAATACTTATTCTGCATCAAATACCTAGTTATTTGCATGCTATGTCCACCCAGTTTGAAGGGCGAGTGACAGGGAAATTACTGGGTACAGGAATGACTTAGGAATATCAACATATATGGAGTAGGCCGATAGTTACCGTATGTTTAGTTTGCGTCCTAGTAATGACTTTTAAAAAACCTTTATTATTTAATAACTTTTGTATTTTTTATAATTTGTGCAAAACTTTTTGAGGCTAATGCTCCTCGAGGAAGCCAGAATAGGGTGTGTGAAGGGTTTACCCAATCTAAAATCTGTTCGATATGCTTTTATTACTGAACTAGTTAAGTCAGCGGCTTCGTACCCGTGGTATTTGAAATAATAATATTTTACAACTTTCTTATTTGCTCGAAATATAAGAAACATAAAATTTTAAGTGAAGCTTACTACAATACCTTATAAATAGCATACATTATAAATATATATATATATATATAGCTACGTCCGTGCAGACAAACCTCGGCAGGAGTTTTACAGGATTGTAAACATTGTGTAAATTAGGAAAAGTTACAGCTTTATCTATCTATGCATTAGTGGAAACCTTTTTCTATTAAGCCGTTTCAGAGGTTAGCGTGGACAGACAAATGGCATTTATTTAGGTTCTAACAGGTTGTTATCAATGTAATAGAAGAGGCATGAAGACTCTATAGTCTTCCAACAATAGATTTTGTCATGTATCTTCTATTTACAGAATAGTGATAGGTCACATTGTTACTGTACGTATAGATAGATATCTATTTTAGCCGTTCGTTTTGGCTTAATTATACATGTTAACAAATTAACAACAAATCTTTCATAGTTCACATAAATGTACCGCTTACAATCTGTGAAATCAATAAATACATCGAATGCGTAATCATGCGAACGTTAACTGCCTATTAGCAAATAATAGAACGCTTTACTTTATTGATATTTTACCGTAAAACTTGGGTTTACCGCCAATATACAGACCTATGTGATAATTGTAAAAGTTTACTTTTATAATTGAATATATTAAATAATGACGAATGATTGAAATTGATGCTGGCGGAAAGGATATATATGGAATATGTCCTACATCCTGCAATCAGGGATTCATTTCATAAATTAACTTTTTATTAAGACATTATAAATAATTAATATTAATAGATAGCAATAAAATAAATGACAATACGTTAGTATAGAGTATAGTAATTTTGTATAATGACTCTTTAATATGAAGAGTTAATAAAGCTTAATTTTTTCCTACTAAACATTTAAAAAACTTCATCATCAGAAACATTTATTATATTAATCATGTCTCTCAATCCCGCGTCGTGCAATATCCTTAAAGAGATACAAGTGAAAAAGCCAGGAAAAAGCCAATCTGGAGGCTGCCAGGAAAACTATAATTATGTGTCGTCACATCTACCTACATTTTCAATAACATAAATCCACATACGGAATATCTCGGCACGGTCTCGGCAGCAAACTCGCAATTACTGTAACTGTTTCATATCTAAGTGGTTATTTGCTAATTTTAGCTGGTCAGCTAAATACTGTAAAGTGGCCTTAGTGACATTAACAGCTAATTATATTAAAAAGAACATACTTGTAATTGATATTTACCATTGGGTACGCAATCACATTTTCATAAAAAAATAGAGAAAATTAGCGGCGATTCGATTCTTTTTTCTGTTAAAATATTTTGATGTTTATGAATGATTAGAATAGCAAAATTACACTCGTGTGATCCAACTTTAAAAGTAAAAAGATATAGATATAGACTTGTCTAGGTGTCTGATATTGAAAATACTTTATACATAATTAACAACTGTTAAAAATAAGTAATAACTAGAGATTCGTACATATGCATCTTAATGCTATTTTATGTGGCGACAGGCGAACTTTGATTTGGATTGGAAAAAACACATAATTTTAAGAATATGCACAATTTTTTATGGTTAATTTAACATATATATATTGATTAGGTTTTATTATGGTGCAAATATAAATTTTTATTATCCATTAGTAAGCGATATAATATTAAAAGTTTCTAGACGATTCGACAGCATTTTTGTAAAACAATAAATCCTCGTTTATTTACTTACAAATGAAGAAAATCTCCATAAACTTCAAGCTTAACTGTCTAAACTGGACTCCCCAGCGCCGGTGTTGTATAATTTATCTGACAAATGAATAGAAGCTGCGTGAAGCGAAACTGCATTCCCATTGAGCCGTCGTTTCCGTCCGTTGATGTTGGAGGTGATGTACTGTACAATTTACACCCATAATAGTAAAGTTCGATTATTAAACTTTTTTATTTTTATTTATCGTAATGAGACTAAGAATTATCATTATATAGAAAAATGTTAAGTACACAGTTAAATACTTATATAGAGTGATTGAACAAAATGACATTATAATGAGTAAATGATACAGTATAAGGAGTAAATGATAACAAAATGAGAACATTTAAGTCAAATTTGATCAGATCTACCTTTTGATTATACATATAATTATAGATAGGTCATTATGAGTAAATTATCATTTATAATTTTTTAGAATTGTTAACTTGTTAAAAATCAAATTAATAATGTAAAATTTAAAAAAGAATGAAACAGTAATAATATTTAAATATTAACAATAATTTAAGAAACTTATTGTATATCAATTGGGAACATATTAAGAGAATAATATTAATCAGCAATAATAATTTTGGAAAAGGTTCATACACTTATAATTATCTGTCCCTTATATTAAAATATCCCTTAGATATAAATATATTCGTTTAGATTAATTAATAATCTAAAAATTTAGTTACGTTTATATTTATTTATGAGGGCATTGTTCTATGAAATGAAATTCTACACCAATATTCTATGTCGTAATGTAGATGTATGCTAGAATATGGTTTGTCAGTACAATTTGAATAGAAGGTTACACCTCATAAAGTATTTCTTACTATTAAACAGTACTACCGTAGAACCCGTCCGAGACAAATAAAGCTATCTTTGTAATGGCAGTATTTATTGTACATTTTATGTTATTTACAACAACTGTCTTAGTGCAATAGGTTTCAGATTTTAATGTTACCACTTACCTGACTTAACGTATAACTGCTTTTAGAAGACAACAAAGCATGGATTCAGAATAACATTTACATATTACTAGCTGACCCCGCTAACATTGTTTTGCCATATAAATTGAAATCACTATTAAAAAAATAGGGGTTGGTAATAAATGGGTAAAAATTTAGGCTTGTATATATTTTTTAATGACACATTATAAAAAATAGTCAGACAAATAAAAAATAAATATGTGAGAATCGGCTACACATCACAAGCTCCGATTTTTTCCCACTGAATTTATACATATAAGACACCATCACTATCAAACTCCTCTTTATCGTGATATTAATTTAATTTTACGCTTGTTAGACAATCGTAAATTCAATTTAAATGTACAAAAAAATGTGTTGTTTGATGCGATATAATTACTTTTAATTAAATATGTTAATAGTCAATTAGATTTTTTTCGTTGCGTTTAATCGTGTATTTGTTATAGTATACAATAGCATAAACGTGGAAATTAAGAGTAACCGATAATGTTATTTAAAATTAAGGTTTAAACCTTAATTTTAAATAACATTATCGGTTACTCTTAAAAATCCACTCGGTAAAAATCCAATTGAACATTAAAAAAGTCCATATTTTTTACTTAAGTAAAAAATTAGATTTTTTATATCACAATCTACCACGAGGTAGTTACATACTTTCTGTTACCCGTACATATATATAATTTCATATTCCTCCGTCGGCGCAATTTTTGTTTTGCTTCACGTATTAATATAACAATTAAAATATATAATCTTTTATAAGCAATATGCCTATGATTCCATTTTAGATGCTATAAGTATTTTAGCTTCTCAGTAAGTACCGGTAATTCGTAACAATTTCGCAATAAATCGCCCCCCGACCAAGTTACTGCTCGTCGGTCTCATTTTAACAAAGTAAGTGAGTTTTTCTCGTTGTGATTCCTAGTTGTCCACTATTGCTAGTGTGTATAACGGGCGCAGGCGTCCCGCTCCTTCCACGAATGTTCTACTCAGGCATTGTTTCTCAGAATCCCCACTCACCAGACCACATAGCAAAGTGCATAAAGCTCATTTTTCTTTGACAGCATTAATACGAGACGCCATCTCTCAGTTCAACAGTAAACGTATTTCCTTCCCGCTGTAACGAAGTATTTGCAACTTTAAGTGCATTCAGCGAAACGTGTCACATTATACACGGCTATTGACAATGCGAATTCGATTTTATATCTGAAGAGATAGGAGTTAGACGTATTGGTTGCCAGTCAAAGTTGGAAGATTAATGTCCTAATGGCCGGCAGTACTGAAAGGGAGTTAGCTAGAAGGCCCCTAAGGGTCAGTTTCGCTTGAGTGACATCGATCGAAAGGCTTCTGGTTCGATCCGCGTTCTTCGGACGACTTCCACTTTTTGCACGAGTTCATCCGCGTAGGGTATAAGCCCTCGGAATAATAAGGATTTAAAAATCAAACTTTATATTTCATTTTCGTCAAAACCTTGCTAAATAATTTAATAATATTGAAACAAATAAATCAGTTAGAATTTTTTCATTACTTAACGTTAAATAATATATTGTGGTATAACAGAAAAGGCATATAAATAGTTACAAAATCCAGTAGAAGTATTCACGAGTGGAAAACTTTCTCGAACGAACTTAGGTCGACATTTGGTAACAAATTTGAACTAATCGAATAGTTTTATATAAAATGATAAATTTTTATTTGTATACCAATCTTGCCACTGTGGTAATTACATCTTGTGAATTGTTATGTTTTGTAAACATCGCTACTTTTTTCTTATTACATTATATATCGTAAAAGTACGAAATATAGTATACGTAAGTAGTATAGTACATAAAAAGAAGTATAAAAAAATATCTTAAAAATAGACGGAAATGAGAATTTCTTTGTTTTAAAATTAATGTTCAATAATAATGATTTTGGTTTCCTCTATGTATGTTCAATACATATAGGAAATTATCATCATCATCAAAATACATAGGAAATCATTTTAATGTATTAAATTTTCTAGATAGATTAAAATTCGCAATGAATTAATAAAATTATATTTTTTTCGCATTTAATGCAGTTCCTGAAATTAGTACCATACATGAATATAATGAATATTCAATAGTTATTGTATTGTTTTTTTTTTTATTTTCAGATCTTCACGGCCAGTTTTATGAGAATACAGTAGTTGTTCAATACGACAAAGATCTACTAGAAGTATGGGACGAAGCGAAAAGACTGCGGTGCGAATGGTTCAATGATTATGAGAAAACAGCTTCGAAGCCACCCATGGTCATTGCCGACTTGGATGTAGTGCAGTTGGATTTCAGAGGTAGGATTTGCTACAAGCTTCTAAGTAATGGTGTTTTATGTTATACGTAGTATTGCATAGATTTGTTGAAACTATTCACAATTACAATATTGATTTCAATCCACTGTATTACATATATTATATATATATATTATGCCATATTAATAAATTGGCTGTTTTTTTATAATTCAATGACGATGCTAATACGCTAACTAATATTAGTTTCACATTGTTGACCTTTATTGTTCAGACTGTATTCAGAGGACGAGAAAATGAACATTTCAATCCACTGGTGATGATAATTAATTCCAAATTTGTGGCAGATAAAAAAATACTATTGTATATTAAGTTTGATGGTTGGTTGAAGATTATTTCAATCTTTTATTCATTTATATTAAGTGTAGAAAATATATATAATTTCTTATTCACCATCGATTTTAATATATTCAAATTACTCACCATTTGTACTCTTAGAGGATACTTATGTATATAATACATATGTTTGCATTTATGATACATATAAATTCGGAATACATATATAAAGAAACTATTACAGGGTTAATCATTTCCAATAAACATGATGTCCCATCTTCATCCTTCGTTGTTTATTGTTACCAATTTGTTAATAATGATTTTATATATTTTAGGAGATAACGTCGACTGTTGGATGGAAATACAAGCCGGCAAGGGACCATGGGCACCTCCTGTTTCTGGCATAGTACCTCTGGGATCCACGCTCACCCTTGTCGTTGCTATTAATGACTATAGAGGTAAGCCAACTGTAACTAACTGTAACAACTATTTTTTACCTTTTATGTAATATAAAAGGTCTGAATTAATTCTGTATTAATTATACAGTTTTGTTTTACTGTCAATGCCGTATTAAATAATTTAATTTACATCAAAAAATAAGATCTTATAAAATTTTAATAGTAACATATTATCATAATAAGTACACAATATTGATATCTCATTTAAAATATTGTTTAAAATCTGAATTATTTGTATATTTATTTAAAGATTATGGTCATTTAAATGAAATGAATAATTTAAAAACCATTTATTTTAATTAATTTTTAAATCATTAGAAAGACATAATTGCTAGTTCATAAAAAAATAATAATAATATTGAACAGAAGATTTTTATATTTGTATATATTTTCGTTTGGAAGAAAGTCTTCTAAACGAAAATATCTTAGAAGCCTCTCGTTGAATGAACTTGTAATGAAGATATTTACAATTAATAGTTTCTTTAGCAGGTATATTATTAAAGCAATATGTTTAATTATAATTGTAATGGCTTAACAAATGCGCGTAACTATGTATCGCAACTAGATGGTAATTTTAAACAGGAAGTATTTAAATTTGAGATTACTGGTGAGAATGAGCAATTAGTTTTTCATTATTTCGTGGTTTAAATTTATAAAATTTGAATTATGGGTAATTTACTAAGCTTGGCTCCTGTTACATATAATAATTTGTTGCGGTGTTTTATATATAGTTTTAATTTTTAGTAATTTCAGTAATTTAACCTTAGACTTTCATACAGGTGTCAATATGCTAATATTTTTGCTTTTGTTTTATTATTTTTAGCATTTCACATTGTACTTAATAATCTAATAAATAATATTTAATATAGCTCTGGATATATCATACAAAACCATTTCATACAATTAATAACAATTGCTAAATATATATATTTTTTAATATACATAATGTAAATGCTCAGTAACAATTAAAAAACCCAGTTTTAAAAATATACATAATGTAAATAAATAATAATAGATCATGACCACATTTTTTTGTAACGTGCGGGATTTGTATTGTGATACACTTTTACACCACAAAGGTCATCAAAGGTCATTATTTGCACCACATACCTTACCACCATCGTCAATAATCACTTTATATTAAACCACATAATCTCCAGCCATTTGACCTACAAGAAGGTCCGTTAACCTTTTATTGCTATGGATAAACGAAATAGGAATTTCATTCAAATTCCATCAAGTTTTATTATTTATCGTATAATATTTCTCATTATGTTTATTATAGCATTTGTAGTATTGTCGAATAGTAGTAGTATTGCCGTTTAGCAACTGTGATTTGACCTAAGTGAAATTATACTGTAATAATAATAACGCATAAGACGCCATCTAGTCCCAAGTTAAGCAGAGCTTGTGTTATGATACTAGACAACGGATATAAATACATAGCTACATTTTTTATGTAAATACGTGCATATTGCACATAGAAAATACTCAGATCGATACAAAAAATCGTACTCATTAATATAAATGTTTATACCGTACGAGGAATCGACCCCGCGGCCATCGGAAGTAAGGCAGTGTGCTTAACCGCTAGACCACCGAGGCCGTCATAAGGAAAGAAATGAAATGAAACCAACGCTACCCATACGTGTAAAATACAGTTATGTGCATTAAATAATAATCTATTTATACAAAGAAAGTAAAGTCTTTACAAACATAGCGATTTACTATTAACTTCAAAGATCTATTGGAGATTCATAGCCACAATAGCGTTAATAATCGACTCTCATTTGAAAGGTTATCTTATAACCTACATTTGACACCTATACCTACGTATACGTTTGACAGATAAATAAACATTTATAATGATTTCAAACTATAATAATGTCATACAATGAATATAGATTATAATGAAGAGAAAAATTCTATTATATATGTAATTGATTATTTAGTTTTAAATTTATACAGCAAAAGACCAATATTTTTAAATGTAGTAGTTATACCTTTTTATTAATGCACTATATATTAAACAATCTTAGTTACTATAAAAACATTAATATTTTTTTATAACCTAGAATTATTTACACAGCGCCATCAAGTCCCAAGCTACGCAAAGATTGTATTATGGTACTAGACAGATACTACTTATTTTACATGTAGGTAGCAGTCAGTTATACTTTCATTATAAATATGTATGTATTAGTAATTTTGGTTATTTTACTAACTTTAATCGTTCTAAAGTCTATAGAAAAAACTGAAAATATTTTGTATTTATTAATATCATAAATCACAGTATAATTCACCAGATAAGCGATAAGTAGAGCAAAAGATAAAGTACGTAATATACTAGATGAGATGTTTTAAAAATCCGTAAAGAAAAGACGAAACTTCTGCGCGCAGCATAAAAAGTGTATCACAATTTTGTTAAAAAAGTGGAAACCTACATACCTACATACAGTAATTATCGTATGTCCAGTTATTAATAATTACAAAAGTTCAAACTGAACTTCTGCTAAATCACCCATTGTATTCATAACACGAAATGAGCCTAAATGTAGTGGTATTATCTTAGAGGTTTATTTTATTACGTCACATTTTATTGCAGTCAATTCGAAGATGTTTGGAATTTTGTCTCATTATTTTTAGGATTCCTTCGAATATCACAGAAGTTATACATACGAAGTTTCATTTTTTTTGCCTAATTGATAGAATTGATGTAGTTTTTTAAATAACAACATTTCTAGGATAATAATTTTAATTGAAATGCTTCATATAATTATTTTATTGTTTGAGATTAAAATCCAATTTGAAAAATATAGTTTATGTTTTACATATTGAAACTTAGAAGGAAATTTATTTTCATCTAAATTTATAACATACTAACATCATTAATTTCTATACTCTCGTTGCTTCAGTATATTTCACTGAATGTTATATAAAACGAGTTTACACGTCTTCATGAAGTAAATGTATAGACTAAGTTCTCTAAAAAAACTTTTTCTTTTGGCATTACTTTTTTATAGACTATAGCAAACACTGTCTAACAAAATATTTTCGTAGACGGAACCTGTTGCTCATGAAAGTTGCTGTCTTATTTCATTTTTACAAAGAGCAAGATACGTGTGTCAAATATTTTTATAGACTATGGTTTACGACGACAAATTAGAATATTTAGCAGTGTTTTTGTCATCATTAGTTAGTAACAAATTCTTTTTGAATAGTAGGCGTACTATCTATATATATACATGGTGTTTAAAAATGGGAATAAGTTGTAAATTGGACTCTGTTTTTCACATTTAACCTCTGGTTTGGGCCGGCGTGCGTGTAAATTTACGTAGTTTTAGTATAAAACTTTGAGACCTGTAACCTATGAACAGGTATAAAAACTACATCTAATCACTCCTTCAATAACTCAATTACTATTGATTTCAGTGACAATATGTTAGTTAATTACCTACTGGAGATAAAGCGCTATTGAATAATACCTATTACAGGCTAAACTGAAATTTCATCAGTGCTGAGAGAGTGCTGCTTGTAGGGACTGGTCTGATCTTTATCACTACGACTGATTTAATCTTATTGCATGATTATATTTGACCCAAAAAATTAGTGCTTGTTGGTAGTTTGTATTCACACGTTTCGACTTGTAAATGTAAACTTACAAGGATTATTTAAAAGAGCAACACACAAGTTTCTTGCTCGTTCTTCTTGTGATGAGACAGCTTTCCGAACGAGTGGTAGATAAAAAACAAATTGTTATGACTATTCAAAAGTGCTTAAATTAAGTTTATTTGAATAAATGATTTTCTATTCTATTCTATTCTATTCTATTCTATCAACAGTCAGTGGGTCGCGGTCTGTGTCTGAACCCGACAAATTGGCCATACCAATTATGTACATTTGTAGGGTCAATTTATGGGGTAAACAGTGTCATCAGTAGACGCTTTAAAACCTTTAAGAGTAAGTCATTGTAAATTAGTTATTGTCATCATAGCTGGCAACTTATATTATGAATCAGCAGAATCAGGCGATGTTAACTGTTACCAAATAACACTTGTCATTATAATCTTTTGTATAAATATTTGGCTATTAATTTATCCATTTTTGACTAGTACTATTTCTAATAACTGGTTTTCACAGATTTAGTATGAAAGTGACTGTCACATTGTTACCGAGACTGTGAGAATAATTAGAGGACAACTATAGACAGTACTGTAATAATATTACACTAACCAGAGAGAGATGGCTCACCATCCAATCTCTAAGCCACACGAACTTCGCCGCAGGAATTAATGTGGAATAGTAATCATAATAACCCTGGACAATCCATACTGCGCAATCTAGGCATAAGCTAAGCAGAATCATGGCTACTAAACAACTGATATAAATACTTAAATATATTTTAAAACATAATACATCTAGAAAACATTCAGACCGATACAGACAAGCATACTCATGAATACAAATGTTTGAAACTATGATTATCAGAAGTAAAGGGGTATACTGTGCGTACGATGCAAACATGATTGCTTCGGAAGTAAATCACCAGACCACCAAGCCTGTCATAACGATGAGGAATGCTGAGACCTTATGATTCTGGCTTGCTATAAGGCCTTGAGTAATATCACATATACATATTTTTAGTAAGTAAAAGTCTCTGTCTCTTGACGATTCTTTACAAGATTTTCCACAAGTTGAAAATAATTATCAACTTTTTCCTGTGTTTTTACAGTCGTCATAGAACATATATCGTACATCATACACTTGTAATTTCAACAATTTCTTTCAAAAAGAGTAATAGTTTCTTGCTACTAATTGCAGTTCGTATTATTTTGATTGGTATTTTAATTTTCATGAATAATATATGAAAGTACAATTCAGATAACAAAAAAGACAGTTACTGACTAATAAAATCTAACAGCGAATATAGTGCAAACCAGCTTCAACAATGACGTGATAAAGAGCCATTTATGTCTACAATAAGGTCATGAGACAACTAATGGATTATCAAGATGACAATACTTTTAGTTCTCATGAATTAAAAAGTCTTGAAATATTAGTTGGTGCGAATAAGCTTTCGAGTTCGATTCTTCGGCGGGAAAATTTGGGAAACCTACTTTACTGCATTGGTTCGAGCTTGGGTAATGTAAGATATGTCCCTACCTGAATGTTGATTGGTGTAGTCTGATTGTGGAATATGTATTAAAAAGGATTAAGATCTTGATCAGAATGCGACCAAACTTTTGGTGAATGAATGAATGCAAAACTCTTTTAATCTTCCTCTCATAGAAAAAATAAATTAGGTACTAAATATGTATCAGAGGTAACAATGGTCGACTTTATCGCTAAGTAGCGATTGGTGCGACTTTTGTTTCTGTTGTTTTGAAAGAAACGTTTTGTTATCAATCGACAGTATTATATGTGAGCTTATATTACACATTAACTAAAATTTGAACAGATTTCCATTAAAAATATAAAAAATATCTTCCTGGTCTAGTAAATACTAAACTCAATGTGATTTATTTTTGGATCCTATTAGCAAGTTTACCATAATATGATACAGACAAAATAAAATTGTCGTTTTTCTTAATGATTTTAATGACATAAAATAAATAAAAATCTGATGTTATAATTAATAACGTAAAATTTTTATTTAATTAATTTATTGCGATCGTAAATGCAATTATTAATGAGTTGTAGATGATTATAAGTAATTTTACATAATATTCTTTGATTGGCGCCAACGTCCCGCTGTGTACGTCGAATATTCCCACCGTCTTTTAAAATGCTACTAATAATATACGCTTAATACTTAATTGGACTTATAATGTTTGAAAAAATAAGTAACTTAATTAAGATAGCAACCATGGTTTGCCCGCTGCTATGTTGTTCTCATGCTCTGCGAAATGTGGGCATATCGGGTGCTACACTCGTCACAATCCACCTGCAACTTGCAACTGCAATTTACTCCATACCTAAGCTTGCATTCTATTTTATCAGGTAATGGGCCAATCAAAAATATAACTCGCCAATATTGTTAGAATTAATTGGCAAATTGTATTTCTGATATTATTTACTATCAAGTATTCTTTTATCTTAAATGTGGTTGAACATAATGATGGCTAGCCTATACGTTATAGATATTTGTGAACGGGTGTTGCTTGTAGGGACTGGTTTTGCTGTAATCATTATGACGAATTTATACTCAAGTAACTGTATGTAATATTTAATATTATGAATTTTGTGTTTTGTAACAAAAAAAAAATTGACGATTTAAATTGATCGTCATTTGTTTAAAAGAGCAACGATTTTACTTGCTCATTCTTCTTGACGCAGTCTGTATACGGAATAAAAAATGACTATTCATAAGTGCCTATATTAAGTTTATTTGAATAATGATTTTTTCTTTTCCTTGATTCATTCCTAAACAAACAGTATGTAGTCGAACCGCTATCGTTATGGGCGGCACCGTTACAGACAGACGAACTAACCTTACTAATTCACTCAGCACGTGGGACATATTAATGGTCAGTTTCCAGTTTCCGTTCGAAGTGATCGTTGGATCATTTTAGAAACCGCTTTTGGACATTTATTATGCAGATTACGTTAGAAATTGATTAACTGCTGAGTCAAAATATGTACTGCAAAATCTTTAAATACGATATCTAATCAACAAGCGCTTTAGAGACGTACATGAATGTGTTTCGTGATGGTTAGATTAATCCATGATTTTATATTTTTGTTCGTCGTTTAAAGTCTTAAGAGTAGTTAGAGGTTTTAAAAATGAAAAGTGACTACAAAATGGTTACATTTGCGTTTTAGCTAAATTTATAATTATTAAATTTAAACTACCACAAGGAAGCTGTTAATACGACAGAATAGAAAAACGATAGATATAATGAAAACTTTAAGAAACTTTGTTTTTGTTTCAATAAAATTATATGTATTATAGTACAGTATTTCATTTGTAAATTAGACGACAAGATGAAGATTCATATGTAATATCCAGTATTTGTGTCAAATTTTTTTTAAGAATAAGTAATATTTTTCCTTTAGTAACTATTCAAATATATGTAATGAATGTCAATTGTATAGGTCATAAAATAGGAAAATGGTCATAAAACCCTTCAAATTTCCGCTTCAACGTGGACAGGCAATAATGACGTGCAAACATATGCTGTAACGGTACAAAGAATAGTAAAAAGTAAACTGGACAAATACGAATGGGTTTGCTTAACGGGCCTAGCGGCCGCGTTGCTAAGGCAACCAGGGACTGGGGTCTCCATCCTGTCGGAGCTCTCGAGACTTACCTTTGACAGCGTTCAAGGAGTTACTTATTTCTATTTAAAGTTTAGAGCATTGCTGTGGTTGCGTATTTCTAATATTAAGGACTATAAAAATATCATATCTTTTCAGTTGACTCATCCAGTTTAAAACATATTACATTACATTCAATGAGCAATTTTTTAAAACAGTTTAAATAGATTCAAAGTTTATCCCGTCGTGATGCAAGATTTTTAAAGATATATATACATATATATAAGTATAAAAATAATATAGTACATTATGTTGCATTCTATTTCTATGTAATATATGTCATTTGAATGTTACAATTGAAGTTATGGATGTCAAGTTCGATAATTTTTTCTTTCTAGAAATGAGATAATCTCAATAAATGCTTTTAACTTTGTTGCCAATAAATATCTGAGGTTTTATTAGATATAGTTATATTTTTACATATTGATAACCCTGTTTAAGACTAGTATGTCGTTTGGCACGGATAGTGTGGTATACCTACATTGAAATTCAACGAATCAATTAATTTACAGATCAGACTTGTTTCGAGTTCGCGAGCAAAATATTTCACTCATTCAGGTTCTAAATATCTATTTCTAAAAACGCCCTCTTCTTAACATGTTCCACTCATTAGGACTCATTGCATATATTATAAGATATCAAATTCCTTGACTTTAATGCTAGAAAGAGGTTTGTCTGAAACTCAAGTAACAGTAACAAAACATTGCCGCTATATTCACATTGTTACTTACTATGTAGATACGCGTATATCGTAAGAGAGTTCATAGATATTCAACGATATCTTAATGTTCAAAATCCATTTAGCCGTTTGGACGACTTGAGGATTTCAAAAATACAAATACCGCTTAAGGTGTTTACACACGGTCATAAATTCGGTGGCAATATCGGAGTAGTGATGAAAAAAGCCCTACATTGCCTTGTATTTAAGCAAATATTTAATGAGGTTAATAATGATTACGATTTGTCTACATACAAGGTGATATACACTATTGCCTCAATATTATCACCAATTTAAGGACCTTGTGTAGATGAGTTTATAATAATATGATATTCAGATATACATGAGGAATATAAAACCTATTGCAATCGAGTTAAAGCACTCAACGTCGTTTTATGCTCTTCAAACGGATACTAAAATTACTAAATAAGCGAGACGGAAATATACCCCTAGGATATATTTACTGACAGTAACGTATTGGCCACGATTCCAGGAAACATCAACACGAGTTGTATACATATATACCATTTGTTAGTCTCTATTACATCCTAGAATGAACATTTGCGCAGTTTGACCAAACACCTGTGTATTACAATAAACATAAGAATTTAAATTCGCCTTTATAACGATAAAGGTTTGTTATAAGTATTATGAACTGCATTAAGAGGAGTAACTTTAATTATAGAGCGATGCTGCGTCCTTTCACAGTGTCATTACCAATATTCCTATACCTAGTGCTTGATTAAGATAAACAAACGAAAGTAATCTTTATCCCATGATTTTAGTAAGCTCGCTACGTTTTTATTGTACCATTGTAGAACCAAATATCAAGTTAAACGATGACAATAGAGATTGTATTATTTCCTAAAGTTTAAATAAAAACGCATTCGATTCACTGATTATTTTCTGAACCCCACCACAGAAAGTAAACGAGTTACACTCGGCTGCTGTGTTTTCTCTCCAATAGTTAATATATGTAGATATTTTGTAATTTAGAATCAATTTGTTTGCGCCATTTTAGAGCTCCAGGAATAGTTACTTAGTTTATCTCCTGTGAGTGCACACGTTAACTTTGTGTTACGACAGCTTTCTTATTGCTTACTTTGTTTAATGGAATATTTGTTTGCGAGTTTCCGCCTTCGAAACTATTTACTTAGGTTAAGCAGCTGTGGTCTATACGAACTGTTTAATTTTCACTTAAAATTTAATGCATAGGAAAAGTTTTAAACAGTAATTAAGTACTGTAGGTAATGGGCTCATTGTTTCGCTGCTAATATGCTGCTAGTGAGTGTACATTGTATGTTTAAAATAAATCTTTACTACAATTCTTTTAACGTCGTAAATTGTTTGTTTTCTATTATTACGCGTTATATAAATTATTTTTTTACACTGATTATTATGTATCCAGGGGTGTTTATAATTAGTAATTTAAATTGTTTACGATATGCTTTGTTGCTTTTATCTATTAGATTATTATAGTTTATGATACTTTAATAGATGTAAATTGTACGTTTTATTAAGGTGCTTGAACTACCTTCTCAATATGAACAGCACGTTAGCTCTAGTAAATTGGATCAACATGTATGTACATTCAAATTATTATAAAATGTATTACATGTATACATTCCAACAACCACTAATAGTATTGATTTGGAACAGTTTAGATATATATTATTATGTAAGGTTAGTCAAATAATAAATGGTTTTTTAAAATAATATTAGCCATGTTTAATGATAGTATTCTGACAATATTTTTTAAAAAATAATTATATTACTATTTATTACAGGTGAATTCGACATGCGAGTGAAGTCATGTGCTGCATCGGATGGCTCCGGTCATATTATTCAGTTATCCGACGAATATGGATGTGTTCTTCGGCCTAAAATGATATCAAGGTATATTATTATGATAATATATTATAAAAATATTAACAAACCCTTGATAAATAAAACAATATTATTTTTATACTATTTATATGTAGTTTCGAAGGTAGATAAAATCCAAATTATTTAAATATTTTCAATTAATTTATTTCATGTCATCAATGCTATTTAGCGCATCGAAATGATTCTACAACTATAATTTAATTCTAAGAAACATTTTGATTCTATTCATGTGAAATAGCAATTCTGGTATCTTCCGCTAAGCTACGTTGCTTAAAAGTTATACCTACGTTAAATTAATGCTAATAGAAACTTAATTAATGAATCTGATTTAATTCATTTGTATAATTTTGAAGGAACTAATTTTTGGTATATCACAAGAGTTAGTAGGAGTTATGATTATACAAAGTAGTGAGCTTACGCAAAACAATAAAATGTTTATTATTATCAATTCCTCAGATTCCTCAAAGCCAAAGCAGCCGATGAAAGAGCTACAGTCATCACGTACGCGTTCTTCCACGCATTCAAGTTTCCGGATGCACTCAGCGTACACATAAGGTGCAAGGTGGAGATCTGCAGACATGGCTGTTTGGACCATTGTCAACTGGCTGGCGTATCTCAACAGAGGCATGGAGCTGTAGACAGGAAAGATGACAGGACCCATCAAGACCATAATGAGATTAAGTAAGTATAAAGTTTGAAAACAAAAAAAGATCACGCACTCGTCAATCGAAATAAAAAATACAAACATATAAATGCAGTCTCTCATAAATTACTAATTTATATTATAAATGCGAACCTAAAATTGTTTGTTTTATCAAATCATCATATATTAGAATAATAAGTAGCATTTGAGATTGTGAAGTATTTATGTATGTAAGTTACTAATTGGTTGATCATGGTCATAAGGTCTCTGTCATAATTTATTATCTGATATAATAAATTATGACAGAGACCTTATGACCATTTCCCATTGTAGAAGAGAAAAAAAGTGAACAGCATAGAAAGATATTTTAAAAGTCTTATAAATTTACAGGAAAGTGAACATATTAATTATTTGACGAAAGTTCCATAATGATTTTATTATTAATGAATGCAGTTAATGATTTTATATTTAAATTAATTTTTAGAACAAGTATATCTATAAATATATGTATATCAACTACAATTTATAGCGATTCGTCGGCTGAAGAATCTCAAGAAGGTCTTTTAGAGGAACATCAGCGCCTACCTCTAGAAGAAGCCTTCGGTGATGAAGTTTCTGGCGATGCTGTACCGCCGCCAGCGCCTCTGTCTCACCGACCGCCAGCGCCAGTCGTAGAACCAGAGTCAGACCATATGTCAGCAGTTAATGAGTTGGTCGAAGCTCTTGCTAGACCGTTTACGGTAAGTAGACATTTTATAAAAATATCAAAATATGTTCTTCAATTTTCATTATAACTTAATTATATACTAAATTTCAATTTTCATAATATAAGTTATAATTAAATCCAATTATTTTAATGTACCCGAGTACTTTAATTTTTTAACAATCCACTACACCTATGAAGTATGTATTATGTGGCATGCTCGTACAATTTCGTAATACTATAGTTATCTGATAATATTACATATAATACTTAAAAAATAGGAGCTAATAAGTCAGAAATTAGCTATTTGGTTGTCCTTGTCTCTGTGAGCGTGGACTTATTTGTAATTATCCACATCAAAATAAGTTATATTTCCTCTAATTTCATTATGATATTTCATTTCATTATGATCATTCATTCCTTATTTTATAAATATTACATATTGTCATCCAAAATACTTTATAAATTAAGGAACAATTTATGCTTAACTACTTACTTAAGTAATAGACAGTTAATTAAGCCAGAAGAAGAAGCTAATTAAGAAATTGTAATACTGCCATGTTGACTGTACATGAAGTACACTCTACTACTCACTGCCTATTATCACTATCTGTTAAAATCGCATCATTTGTAGTAATTTTATTATCGCTTTTTTACAGGAACGCCCAACTGATCTAGAACGGGAACGTTTCCCTCAAGGTCCTCGTAATTTCGGTCCTAAAATGAAACATGAGCCGTCTGGTGATGAAGTGGTACCAGCTAAACCTCCTGGGCCTGCCGTGGCTGGACCTAGATCATTGAGAAGGCGACGGACAGTGCGCGATGCAAGGTCCGCTGATGTGGGAGTGTCGGGCATATATGAAGTAGTTTCAGAAGCAGATCTAGCATTTGGACCATCCCGAGAATCGGTGACTGTATTTAGCGGAAGAATTCGTGAAGAGGTTAATATATTTATTTATTTTTTGTTATTAAACAGGCTGTACAAAAGGAAAGTAATCAATCAGGATACTTCACAGGCAGCTGTGGTAAAAGAAGATTCAATAATATAATACACCTTCACGGCTGTTATCTCCGATATTTTGTTTGCAAGTTAGTCAACCGTCAGAATTATGTTGAATGCAACATTTGACTTGCCTACATTTAGCAGAGTACATAAAATCCATAGTCGGCAAGGGTTGCTGACTTTGGATTTTATGTTTGTATGATTGTATGATCGTATGATTACCGCTAGTTCTTGATTTAATTTTGTTTGTAATCAATGTTTCCATCACTAGCGTGTGAAATATAAATGGACATATAATGTTTTTTTTATCTGTTGACCTAAATTTACGACGTTTGAAGTGGAAGTCAGGTACGTCACAAAATAGCCGACGCTGCAAAACATTGGAACATTTGAGATACTTAATTATATTTCACAAATGTCTTAGAGATTGAAGATTGATTTATTATTGGTAGATAAAATTATTTAGTGTTGTACTTCAATTTCCAGGTGGTTTATGGAATTTGCATGGGCGCTGTCGGTTTCGGCGCGCTCTTCGCTTCAGCTGCCGGGGCGGCCGCTGGAGCTGCTTTAGCAGCCGCTGTGATGCTGCAGAGGCTCCGCTCGAGGATGGCTGCCCATCCACCTACCCCTGTATCACCAGCTCCAGCTTCCCATTCGTTAGCTGCATGGATGGCACTAAGACTTCTAGGTTCCCCAACTCACCCGCACCACTCCCGTGATGGCTGACGATATGTCTCCTCATAAATCTCTCTAAGACTGTTTTTAGACTATAAGCAGCTGTCCACATATGTTCGAGTCTGTATAATTTGGGAATCTATATACATATATATAACAACAATGTAATCGATCAGTGTCTGTACATATATATATGTAAGTAAAATTATTATTTATAGACTTTGTAAACCCAAAATAATTATTGTCAAAACTCGGATCACGGACGTATTCTGGTAAATAATCCACTTAAAATTGTAAATCGGTTATGAGGGTAGTTGTCAATGAAATCACGCAGGAATATCAGTATATAAGTGTAGTATCCGACGGACATCCAATAGCTGCAGAGCGGTAACAATACATATATATGTATGACTATGTACCTACGAGAATTTAATGAATTGGAGGTAACATTACTGTCTTTCATAACAATTGCTTGGAAGAGCGTTTGTGCGAGATGAATGCACCCCACTCCTAAAGAACACACCGGACGAAAGAAGTATTAATTTCAGAAAATTCTCGTGTATTGTTATAAAAATATCAATTTAAAAATGAACATAAGTTTTGTAATTAATTGTATCAGCTCGAATTTGTGTGGGCAATCAGAGATGTGACTCTTATATGGATTGTTTCCATTGGGAGTCCCATCGATCTTCATGTATAGTGAAATATATTTTTCTTAGGAATTAAGAATTCCAATAAAGCGTTGAGATACCTGAAAGTTGGGATCTTTGTTCCCATATATAGATATGGCATATAGCACGGTCAGTCATTTTATTAATTGATGCACATATTTTTATATATTATTGAGAAACGTTAATGATATGCATACATATTACTTATGAGACTAAATTATTCTTGAGTCTTCTTTATTTTGCACTTTAGTGATAATTACTTCAAAATTTGTCTCGTCGATGCCAAATAATATTAGAATAAACAAACTGGTTAAACTGATATTTATGGATATAAATAATGATATTTTCTTAATATATAAATTTTAGATGACTATATTAAGATAATCAATATTAAAATTTTCCAATATAAAACCAAATCATAACTATTTTGCATTGCATTGGAATTATTATATCAAATTTAACTGCTGTCTTAACTCTTTTAATATAAAATTTATACTATATATAGCCTTACGATGATGGTGCTATGGACTAAGTCCCGTTATACTTGATTTTCATTTCACTTTGTGAATATATAAATTTTATACCGATAAGTGTTGTACATAACATTACTTTATTTAATATATGTATAAGTTGGAATTATAGTACAGAGTTGAGGTCACATTAATAATATAATAATAATAATAATAACTTATTGTTAGGATAGCATATTCATTAAAACAGTACTCGGCTTGCCTGTTTCAGAATGAATACTAAAATGTTTTAATTTTCACCTAAATATGTTCAACTATTTTAACGTTAATTTTGTTATAAATTAAACTTAATTAACCGGCAAACAGAAGCGTATTAGAAATATGTTAATAATCATTGTTTTCCATTCAGTACCGTTTTTACTATCGTAGAACTAGTGCCTTCAAAACGTATGTAAGTAAATTACAGTTTTGATTTTGTAGCAATTGTATACAAACATACGTAAATGTATGTACGATGATGTCAGACCTCTATACTATAATTCGAGCTTAAGAATAACGTGTTCTTAGTATCTAACAGGTAAGAATAAACGTCGAGTCATGCCATTAGGTTAAGTTTAGTTAATTCCACGAGTTCTGCTCAACTTAGTTTCAACTTTAGTTCATATACCTTAAAGTCAATTTTGTTCTATCAAAATCTAGAACCTTATCTTTAGGGCGCCGAGGCTTCTATAGATGTTAAAGCTTTGTAGTTATCTTGCTGTTTAATGTGTATAATAAGTAATATTAGGGGTTGCAATTAAGTAGCGAAATGGCATTCCAAATAAGTTAGCTACAGATAATTTTTATATTAAAAAAAACTGTATAAAAAGGAATTTATATTAAATATTAAAAATTTATTATTAAATATTTTATAATATGTGCACATTATATACTTAATGATTATAACTCTCTTTTGTATTTACCGCCATCTCGAATAGACCTATCTAAGTTAAAATATTAGAAGCTCATATCAAAAATAATCATGGCAAATATATCGTAATATAATGTGTACGATTGTAAAAGCACATAAAAAAATATCATTGTTGTTCTAAGAACTCAAAAGCTTAGTGTAAGGTTAAGTACCTGCCATCTGTGCTGCGGTATTCCATTAAATTACATTGTATTCTGTATTGAAAATAATTAATCGGTATATTCTGAATAATATTTATATCCAAACTTACTAATAGGTATAAATAAAAAACCGGCATACTGAAAATAAAAAAAGAATAACTATGTACTATTATTCGGTGAAATATTTTCAGAGTTTAAAATACCATAATTATCTCTATAACAACTGTTATATTCAGTGAATATAAAAAAAAGGATTCTATTACCACCTAATCAAAACTATATTTGAAGAATTATAAATCTTAGAATTTCAATTATTATTATGATTTCAGTAAAATAAAGCATATAAATCCTATATTTTCTTAATACATAGGTAAACATAAATAATTTAATAAAATACATCACAAAAGTAAATTATTTTGATATTTTTATTTAATGTGATTAATAGGATCCAGACACTGAATAATACTAAAATCAATCTATACTATTGTATTACAATGTCATAATCATAATGAAACACTAAACTTTCTTCATTTTTAGTAATTAAATAATCTGCTTTAGTAGGTACCTATATTATATTGTAGTTAAGTTAGTAATATTAAAATAAATATAGCATAGTTGAAACACCAATGAAAGCTCCTTATTATACAATAGGATTAAAAGTATTGTCATAGTGTCGAATCGTTAATATTGGTGTGATAACTTATTATTTTTTACTATTGACATAGTATGATGAACAGATATAGTAATAAAGAAATTTCACTAAATGCTTGTATTTTATTAAATGACAAATACATATGCGTGGTAGAGAATACACTATGACAAAATTTTGCTAATCCTTTTAATAGAATCTTCTGTAAACATAGCATTTACTACGCATTTAAGATTTTATACTTTGTAATTGCTCAAATTTTAATAATTTATTTTTGTATTTTTATACGTATCTATATTTAAAAATATAGCTATGATTAGAATAGATATGTAGTTTAAGTAATAAAGTTAAAATAGAACTAGACGAACAGATCAATAAGGATATTGTTACCTAATCTTGCATCGAAGCATATAGAAACAGCTTTACGATCCAAGATTGGAAAACGGTTAACTATTCTTTAATTATCATATTTTATATAGTATATTAAATAATAATGACATGCCACCCAAAAATCTTGCATTTATGATAACAAAATTATAATTAAGTTATATGAAATTTTTCTGAGAAAGAAAATTTCTCTAAGTGCAATTTTACTTTTACTGATTTTATTTTACGAAGAAAAAACATTATTTTGTAACGACTTCTCATTAAGTCCTTTTTTCGGTTATGGTGCTTTTGATATAATATTATATTGTTTGTTTCGTGAGTATCGAAGGGATTCAATGTTTGTAATTTTTTTATGGACATTTTATTTATAAATATGTATTTGCATTTCCTTTGTATAGCTGCGATGACGATGTGTTTAACGTAAGCAGCTGTCTATTTGTTTAATGGAATAAAATATATGTTGAAAGAGATTTGGAGTATATTTATTTTTTAACTACCATTTCTTTTTTATTGGGGATTTTGGGCTATTGTCAAGTGCTAAGACCTGTAACACTGCGACCTACAAAGATCTATTGTGCTCGCCCTTTTTCAAAGTTTGCTACCTAAAACCGTAAGGGATAATAATTGTACGATACTCATCGGTGTAATGGTTTTTATCTTCTCAGAATAGAGTACCTATATATTTTCCAAAGTAGATATTTTGTTTATGTTACAACCACATTGTATGTGTAGTGGCGTTTCGGCAAAATCTGCAGATTGTTGTCAAGCTAAAGCCTAATTTCGCCATGTGTATATTCACTTTGCAGTATCTGGTGAGGGCCCTAGTCTTGATGGATATATTGTTTTTACTGAATAGCAATAGTCTGACAGTCATATATTCTTAAATTATAATTTCGTGACGTAATTGACTTATATAAAATAGGTACAGGCAAATCAACTTACAGGTGTTTGTAATGAAAATTATTTTTGTAGTATTGTTATACAATCTATTAAATATAAAACAAACCAGTCAACACGTGCGTTATACTATACACTAAAACCTACGTAATAAATACCTACCAATTTATAATAAATATTAGAATACCTATAATAATCAAGAAAATCTTTCACGTAATGTATTTGTATGTTCATTTATCTCTTGACCGTATACTACTACTAAGTATACGGTAATATAATCTTATTTGTGTTTCAGCTTTAACAGCATAACAATTATTAATGAAATTTAGTAGTATTGGTTTTTGGTTACTTTTTTTTGGTACTTTGGTTTTTACTAGTGGCAAAAGTGGCCTGATAGATTACTCATGAAACTGCACCATTTTCTCCATGAACCAAACCCCTTCCGATCGATCTCCCGTCCAATTCAAACGGGGATCGAAGCTACGACGGCCTGTACCGAGGAACCCCTAGCGGTGCCCTCAGATTAAAGTCGAATTCGTCAGGCACGAGTTGGCCTTCACCCGCTCCATAAGTCTTTCCATGGGTTTGGATTGCCATCTACACTCACCTCCTATCGTCTAAGAAGCTGTAAAGGTCAGCGTTAGAGTAATTCGAAATAAAAAGGAACCCATAACTGAAGCGTTACATTTGAAAATATATTTCCGTACTAAATTGATAAAATACCTACCTATCACAGTTTCTATGAAGTTTTAATAAATCATATTAATTTTGAGACTTCTTGAGATCTTTTATGTCTTTATGTAATTGAAATGGTAAACAAGCTAACGGCCCTGATGGTAACTGATAACAGCTACCAATATATATATATATACGGTACCTATCTCGAACATCATGTCGACACCTCATACCAGTAGTCCCACCATTTGTTGCCATTCTGACAGACTAAGATGTCATGCGGCCGTATACTGTAATTTCACTTTTATCTAATCTTATCTCTTTCTTCTATCAAAAACATGTTTCAAAGCAAGCCGATTGGCGACTGGAATAGATAGGTCAGGTGCCGGCGTCTAAATGTACCTCCCTCGGTAAAAATTAACTAATATTATGTAATATTATGTTATCTGTGCTAATATACAACTAACTACTAACCCTGCTTTCTATTCTAAGAAGTACTTGTAATTATAAACTACAAAATTAATCCCTGCTCCAATTTATTTAAATTCACTGAATTTTATTTAATTTAGTTAAATTAAAACACATAAATTCTTCGTAATATTTATTTTTTCTGAAATATTTTCTATTTTACAGTTTTTGCTGTTGAATGGAATTTATTATACTTTTTCTTTATTATTTGGACATCGAACATAACAATAATGGAAATAAATTAACATTTAACAAAGTTATAACATTTCCAACAATAGATAAATCATCCTAATATTGTGACGGAAGATAACATCAATAACAAAATAAATAAAGTTAAATAGAAGAAGAGGTACTCAGGTGGTATAAAATAAATAAATTACACGTAGCAATGACTACATCGATAACTTAACTAAATTAAATAATATTAATACTAATGACAAGTTATTTTAAATTATATGCTAGCGGTTCACCTAAATATTGATAAAACACGTGTATTTTCCGTTGCCCCTAATTCAAATACTCTATTCGAAAAGAGGTAACAGAAGATTGTACTTATGATAAATGTAATACTACATTTTGTGAATTGAATAATTTGTTCTAACTTCGCCCCATCATTGGACTGTCACAATGTCAATATGTCACAACTACAGGCCATACAATAAAACGTAATACAATGGAAAAGCTGAATGTATTGATGTAGAATAATAAATATATGCCTCATATTCTACCTATAATTCATCACATAGGAAACAAATATTTTAATTGAAGCGTCTTTAAGGCCTTTGTTGTAATAAATTAAAATTTAATAAATTATTAATACTAAATACATACTTCTGCAATTCCATTTAATATGTTTGAGCACACTGATTACACGCACATATAATTTGCACGATTCTCATACTTCAGTCTCATCACACTAATATGTACAAATTGAGTTAAATAGGCGACGTTACGAATAGAACTGACTTTTTGAAATTACATGTGCAGTGGGCGGTGGGTGTGGCCGGGCTATCGTGGCGATAGCTGCTGTTTTCTTTTTCAATGATGTCATAGGACGCAATTTTATAAATAATACTGCTGATACAGCACAAGAGCAGAGTAAAGTGGCAAGAAGAGCGCCAAGCGTAGCTGCAAAACCAGGAGTAGTCATACAAACTAGCCCTGGAGTTGGAACAATCCTGGGAGCAGGAGTATCTTCCGATGTATCCAAATTTAAATCGCCAGCAGATACCACACGGATGACTCTGTTTACCCCAACTTCTTTTTCTGGAGAAGTAGCTCGTCGTTGTCGTCGTACTCGTCTTTCATCCCTTCTGGCTTCAACACCTACAGGGTAAGCATCAATCTGTGGAGGTCCATACTCCGCATGTGGCGCAATGACATTATGGCCTCCATCAGAGCATTGTTCAGGACACCGGTATCTGCAAATCTGAATAGTACATTGGAAATGGACCTCCATAGAGTCAGGGAATTTGAAGGCTTGGAAATGAGCATATGAAAGAACGCTGGCACTAGCTCCGAAATTCTTAATTTTTGTAAATCTTGACATTAATTTTGGTCTTGTTACACAGCCTCGCCTATCGACTAATTGTATAGGAGCGCGTTGACCATCATGAGCTACACAATCTCGAACTAACATGTCGAATTTCGCATCATCATCCTTAATGGCCAGAACCATGGTCATTGTTTGACCAATCTTCACAAGACCTGACACTTCTGATGCCCACGGTCCCTTGCCCACTTGAATTTGCATCCAACAACCAACATTATCACCAGCAAAGTCTGCTCTTACAACGTCCAACATATCAACTGGGAATGGTCTGAATGTTACTGCTTTTTCATATTGGTCATGCCATGTGCAACGTAACTTACGTGCTTGATCCCAAACTTCTTGCACTTGAGGGTCGTATTGAATAACTATTACATTTTCAAAGTAAGTTCCAGCGGCTGCAACATCTCCTCTGTATCGTGGATCGCCGCTGCCGGCTGTACCACATGCATGAGCACCAATTTCGAAGGATGCAGTTGATCTACCTAAATTAGGTGGTAGATGTACACACTGATGGTTGGAATAATGTCCCTTAGAGAACACTATTCCAAAGAACGGTTTGTCGAAGCTAAGAAAAACACGCATGGCATTTTTTTCACATTTCACATCAAGTGATACGATCTTCGGCATGTCAGGAGCGGGAGCGGGCCAGACGTCCCCGGCGCCACTGAATACTTTTTCACTGGCCGATGTCTGAGCATCAGCAGGAGGTGCAGGTGGAGGAGGAGGTCCACGGAAACCTGGTCCAATATCATTTTTGTGATGGTTCACTGGATGTCCTAAAGCGAATGGTTTTGAATGAATTGGATGATGATTGGGAATCCTTGGCATGCCTGAAAATAATGAAAAAAATACAATTAATAAATCACGATCAAGTAAATAAAATATTAATAGATACTACTAATAAATTCTTTTAATTATTATAGGTATCTATAATATAAAAATAATACCAATTAATAGGACGGTTTCGATGTGTAATTTGGTATATACAAAATAACCTTGATACAACACATCATATAATATTTTAAAAATTGATATTGCAATAATGCTATGTCCTAATTATACTTACTTACATAAAATTAACTAAGGTAAAGTATAATATGTAATTTCTTTTCGTACCTAATGGGTGATGAGGCTGATGGTGAGGTGGATTCTGCCGTCTGTTATGCGGTGGTGGAGCCGGTGGTGGAGGTCCGTTATACGCATGACTTGGGGTTTCCCGTTCTGATGACTCCATTGCTAACTGGTCTGCTGAAGGCTCAGCAGCACTATTGGAATCAGCACCCGCATTACCTCCACTGCTACTTTCATTTGAAGACTGGTCACTGAGGGTTCCACTCTGAAATAAGACATAAAGAGCTTTCAGCTATTTGTTAGTTATGAATAGTACTTATGTTATAAAGTTAGTGGTCCTAGAATGGCAAACAAAATAGCGGGCCACCTAATGCTAAGTAGTAACGGTTGCCTTTATACATGAATAGCACTATGGGCATCACGTAATAACGCAATGCGCGTTAGCGTCACATAATAATGTGACGCTAACGCTCATACATTGCTATTCCGAAGAACTAAGATATTTTGCCTTATCTTGTAATTTCATTGTCCATGGTCACCCTACAAACGAAACTTAGCTTTCAAAGCAGCTGCTTATTGGCTGACATAGTTACCTCAGTATCCACTTAGATGACTTTTACAAAGTTTATCATTATGTGTTTGGTATTAACGTAATATTATTATTAAAATTACTGTCATCAGTAGGTTGAATGTACTTCAAACGTATTCATATTATTTTAATTACTATAATTTTTACACTAATTATTTTAAAACTATTATTGTAAAAATGCCAATAACAGCTATAATAATATTTTTCATACATTTTATAAAAGACCAACATAATTTTGTTCCACAAACAACTGGCCAATTAACAAACCGGGCCAATACAAGACCAATTTATTCCCGTTTCCAATTAAAATCAACAGTCAAATCAAACATCAAACAGTATCATCGAAATCTGTTACTTCTGGTGAAGTTATAAACTAATATATATATATATACACAGATAAAAAATAAACTTATTTTTTATTAGTTGTAAGTTGTCAAAGTAAATACAAATCCTGAATTTTGTAAATATATAAACCTGGTAACTCTGAAAGCAGTTTTCGTTTTTAATGTAACTTCGGTAAATAAACTCGTTTTTGTTTTAATTTTATGGATGGAGATTTGGTTGTTATACTTGTATGTAGTAGTTATTGCTAATTAATTATATTAAATTTATTAATTATATTATATTAAGGCTAGATATATAATCCCTATATTACTATTTACCTCCTGGCATTAGATAGATAAGAAGTTATAGATCTAGCCTTAAAATATAATACAATAAATAAATTTAATATAATAAATTAGCAATAACTACTACATACAAGTATAACAACCAAATCTCCGTTTCTCTAGAAAGGTACCATAGGTAGTTAAAATGTGCCTGATATAGTGTTCCTTTTATTTGTAATAACTATGATACAATGTATACATGCATAGTTAGTGCATTAGTTAGGTTTTTTTCGCGTCTTCGTCCACAGGACCGGAATAATTGACGATTACAAAATATAAAGTATGCCCTTTTAAAAAAATAAATTTCACGGCGAATCGTCAAACGTCTTAAGAAAAATAAAGAAACAAGCAAATTGACTGTCATTTATAATAAGTGAGAAAATCGTAATATTTTTAAGACAAGTTTTGATTATAACTTTTGCTCTTGAAAACATTGCTTTCAAAATTGTGAATGCCGGTCTAATTTTAAACCTTTAAAGAGAAATGTATAAGCCAGACATTTTGAAGACAGCGTCAGAAAAACATTGTAATAAATATTTTCCCAAGCTAAGAAACTTGTCAAAGCGAAATAGCTTTTAATATATATTGGAAAAAGTCGTTAACTGTGTCGGTATAAAGGATGTTTACGGAGTTCAATGAGTATTGACCGGTTTTATTAAACATAAATATAATTTTTCAACACTAATCTACTACTGTGTTGTCAGCATAAAGAAGGGAGGCAATAAGAAAGATACACATCTCATAAATAAGTCGCCTGTACTCATATCTTATTTCATGGAAAATTGCTTATCTGAATCAGCTTTCACTACTGCGGCGTGTGGGCAGTTTTTAATATTATTTAATACGGCATACTGACCGTTTTAATATACTAACACCTGTATCAGAAGTTATGTGACAACGGTTAATGTAAATACCCAATAATGTAGGTTACTAATGTTAAATGTTGCCAGATGACCGTGGTTCAAGGTTGCCAACCATAAAACATTCAGCCTCGTACGATGGAATAAAAAAATCTGATAAAATGTAGTGTATTATTTATATTTCCACTGCTAACAATATTTTTTGTGCCACTCATGATTGTGCGATAACCGCATGATATAAATAAATAAATATATAATTTAGTTCTCTAACAATGTACATAATCGTATTTTGACCGATTCCAGTCAAAACGGTTGGCATCCCTGTCGTGGATTCCAATTTTCTGTAATAGATAATTAGAATAACGTGAAAATTGTTTAATTTAAATTATTGCTGATTTGTATGGGAGTATTCATCTTCTGACCCAGGATGGTAGGCAGCAAATCAAATATGCTTCTGATCCAAGGAGGTCAGAGAACAAGTCACATTTTTTTAAAGCCGCCATTTTTTAAATTATATTCATAATATATAACTTTTATAGTCTAGCAGGAGACTTTTGTGCCTTACGCACTAAAGACATTCTTTAGAATAGACCTAGTATGTAAGTAAAAAATTGTTGCAAAAGTTATACTTAGTAATTTCGATTGAGAATTTAAATATAAAACTCATATATTATGTATATAAATTTCCAGCATCACTAATGGCTTTCCAATATTCTCTCTATTTTATTTGCGTGAGGAATAAACTTCACAGGAATAAGATCCATAAACGATTTTATCTAAATTTAATATTTTTGAGTTCCGGGCTTGTAAGTAATATTCTTCCTTCGTATTCCTTCGAATTTAATTATACGACCAACTACCAACCAGGAAATTTGTCTACTTTACTTATTGTACTTAAAGTAAAAAAAAAGTATCTCAGCATAGTGTAATTTATATTGATTTTGATTTTACCTGTCTTACATCGTTTTACGGAAAAAGGGACTTTACAAGTAGAATACGAAGATTCAAATTATAAGCTTGGTAAATAGTCCCGATCAAAACACAATTGAGAGAATGGGTGGTCGTAACAAAAAAGTATCGGAAATTATAAACTATTGGCCTATGATTACCGATGGGTGCCTAAATCGAGGTGGGTGTTGACATCTCTGAACCCAGCATTAACGAATCGTCAAGACATTTATAACTCTCATTTGTTTCGCCTCGAGGTATGAAATTAGAAAGTATTGGCCCCAACAAGAGATGTGTTGAGGTTTATTTTTTGTTATTCCGATAAAGATTTATACTTGCGGCTATAAAAGCACCTCCTTTATGTACATCCAACTATTATTTTAGATTGGAATCCGGATGAATAACAGGGAAGACTGATTGTTACATGAATTGTGTAATAAAATAAATATGAGAGAAAGTTTTAAGGGACACCGTTTAGTGATCGTAATCTATATGATGGAACATTAACTATTAAGACCAAATGAGGGCGCATCTCTGAAATCTTAGCTTATTAAAATTTTTAAGTGGTCCTTACATGTTTCTATTACTTAATTATATTTCGTTGTATGGCCAATAAAAATAGATTTATGTAACTACTTAGGCTTCCTTCTATCAATTTACTTACGAGTTTGCTTTATAGAAACTCTTATATAAATCCCTGTTTAAATATGAACACATTGTGTATGTATAGTATATTTAGTAAAATATTTCTATTCTACATGTAATATAATTCTTCTACATGTATATTGCACAGGTACTTCAAACCGTAATCGTTAAATTAGTAAGCCATGAATTATTCGGGTGTCATTGAATTGCATCCAAGAGTTTCTTATTTTTTTAATAATATTTTATAATTTACTTTTACACTGCTATAAAATAATGTTTATCTTGTATGAAAAAATCTTAACCAGCAATGAATATAATATTTCGAAAACGTGTGTATACGTCTTCGAAATATTATATTCATTGCGGATTAAGATTTGTTCATACAAGATAACCATTAATTTCAGTCATTGCTCGTTTTATTGAAACATTATCTTGTTTAGTAGAGCTTAGCTCGTTAAATGCTTTAAAATTCTGATGATCTATTTAAAAACTAGACCAAACGCAAGTATGTACGTATGAAATTATTTATTGCTTTAGAGAATTTATTACCTATCTATAGCATGGATGAACATACAACTGATGTTAACGCGAAAATAATTGCTTATATATAATACTTACCGTACCTTTTAGTCAAAATTAAGTTAATATTCGATAGTCTACATGATAATTTTGTCTAAATATTTAATAAATTTCTAAAAAGCCTATTGAGCGGTTATAATTGATTAACAAATATCAAAAGATTATTATAAATTCTTACATTTATTATTCTAGTAGGATAAAATACAAGTGCAGGTAGCTGTGAAATGGTATATTAGAGTTACCTGTTATCAAAGTACGCATAAAAAAATCTCTTCGGAAAAAGTTAAAAATTTGATAGCATTAGTTATCCAGGACAATTCCAAGTTCTAAGCTAGATAGAGCTTGTATTATGGGTCCTAGACAAGTATAGAAATACTTGAACACATGTATTTATATATATATATGTAAAAATACATGTGTTCGAGTATTTCTATACTTGTATAGGTATAATATTATAGCTAACACTAGATCATAACAAACAATATGAGATGACTGTATCGTGGCAGTAATCAAATCCGCGACCATTACACATATGTACAAAACACACGCACACAGGTGGATAAAAATGCAAATATTATACAAAATCTCACGTGACTTGTTTCCGAATATCTCTAAGTCTGCTATTCAGCAAAATCATAATTGTGCGCAATAGGTATGTAATAAATAAAAAAAAGCCAATTAAAACCCGCAATATACCTATTCGATACGGTGTCTGTCCGGTCATTCAGTATGTCAGTGGTGGCCTGGTCAATGCTCTTATAAAACTTTTTAATTTCATATTTCCACAGTGAGCAACATTAAAAAAATATTACAAGATTGAGCTATTTAAGTTCTTTTTCTAATTTTGATTTCACTATAAAAGCAACAGAGTTTAAAACCCTTATTATTTTTACTCAAACTTTACTATTATTTTGTGCTACGGCTTAATTACATATTACAATCTATATATAAATAAAAACTAAAATTATTATTATAA